ATAAATGAGTGAAAATCCTCTTCTCTCTAATCAGTTTAACTTTGTAAAAGCTGACTCACAGCCAGTTGAAGAAAGCATAAAACTGTTAAAATCTGAAAAGCAGAGTGAGGTATATTGAAATCGGGTTCAAGATATCTCAGATGAAATGCTTGAGAATATAGTGAAGCTCATTAGATCTATTATTCTAACAAGTGCTAGAGATAATATTTCAAAGAGAAAGTCTTCTGAGTATTCAAATCCTAATAAAATGAGAATATCATATCTAAAAGAAAACAATTAGCTACTGCTAGAAGAGATTAAAGAATGATGTAATATCTGATAAAGAGTTCAAAGCTGTCAGAAATGAATATTTTTCAGATATTAAAAGAGCTAAAACAGACTGCTGGAATAAATTTCTTGAAGAAGTATAAGAAAAGAAAGTTTTTAAAGCTTTTAACTATACTAAAACAAGAAGTGTAGTAAAACTTTCAGCTCTAGAATATGAGTTTCAGAATGAATCATATACAGCAAATTCTTTTGAAAAAAAGTGTCAAGCTTTCATGAGAATTCTCTCTCAAAGGTCATCAGATTCAGATTCAGAGAAAGATTATTATTATTATTATTCTTCAATTATAGATGTATACAGTTAGAGACTATGACATCTACCTGAGAACTTTTAGTTCTCAGGGTTTTTCCTATATCTGTAAAGTTAACTATTATACATTTACCAATTTCAGATATGCAAAATCAGAAAGTTCCAGCTCAGAATATAAAAACTGTTTACAAATTGCAGTATTTTAACATCTTCTGACACTTTGAAATCATTTGAGAATATCATGACAAAAGAAAAGAGAACACAGTCTTAAAGATAGACACATTAAATAGATAGATAGAAAAGAATTAAAAGAAAAAGATAAAGTAAAGAGAGACTGTAATAAAACAAATTATTAAAAGATAATATATAGCTGTTTTAACAGACTATATCTGATTGATTTCCTCCTCTTCATATTCAGATATTTCTGAATTTAGTCATTTTCTTATAGCTGCTTGAGTTTCTGATAGAAAGTCTATTAAGTATTTAATTTCTGTCTCAGTTGAGAATAAGAATCTTATATTTAATTAATTTAGATTATACTTCTCTTTCAATCTGACTCTGAGACTATTGTATAATGCACAGTGTATTATAATATACTCAGAATTCTCATTTATATTCCAGAATGAGCATTCTATTGAATTAAATCTATTCTCAAATCTTTGTATATAAGATTTGAAATAGCCATGTCCTAGTTTCAGCTGTATTATAGATGAGAATATTTTCTTTTTACATTTAATTGAACAAGATTTTCACTTGGGTTTTATTTCAAATCTTGAATAATATATACTCTTCTTTTGTTTCTGCCAGCTTTCATTTCACTTGTCTAAACAAGATTCTTTTATTTTTCTCTTTATAAAAGATCAGAATATAATTTTTTGAATAGATCTGCTTAATTCTGAACTCTTTTTTACAGCTGAATCAGCCAATTCATTGTCATGAATATTCATATGAGTAGAAACTCAGTGCAGATGAATTATCAGCTTTGATATTCTTCTCTTTTGAATTCTCAAAACAGAGTTTAAGATCAGTTCAAGATTCATTTAATCACTATAAATCTGACTATTTCTAAGTCTTTTTAAAGCAGCTTGACTATTAGAGAATATTCATATCTCTTTCAAACTATTTCCTCTTTTATAAGATTTTATTTCAATGAGTTTGAAAGCTTTTACTATTATAAATAGTTCAGCATCAAAGACTTCAGCTTCACAGCCTAAATTTCAGAAATCTGAGATAAAATTAATACTATCTTCAGTATAAGCAATGTCTGCATCTAATCTATTCAAATTCTCATTTTTAAAGTTATCTCAATAAATCAGAATAGAGTCTTCTATATTAATTGTTGAAATTCTCTTCAAATACTGTTCATATTCTTTCTTCTTAGATAGTTCACTTATTTATAAGTCTATAAGATATTCAAGCCTTTCTCTCCAGAGAGATATCTTCTCATGGTCAACTTTTTCAATATTTAAAGAAGAAAATTGATTTTTAATCAGTGAGCATATTCTGTACAGTTGAGAAGGCATTTTCTTTGAAGAATTATTTTCATTTCAATTAAGACTACGGGCGCTAGCCACCCGCAGGATGCATCTTAAGCTAATTACATTTAACTCTCTATAATTAACTGATTACCGCGTCCGTCCTCTCGGGCCAGCCACTAATTTCCAGGGGTCTTAGTTAGTGGCTGCCACCGCTCACTTGATGATGTACACACTAGACTGACCGTGTGACCGTGTCTGGGACCAGGACCAGATTTTTTGATAGTCTTATTACCAATTCGACTGATCCCATTACACAGTTTTAACATTAGATAGTAGTCTTATACTGTCTCAGTGAGACTTACTGTCTACTCTTATCACATTTTTCAAATGAGATCATGATTTCTACTTCTTAATTTAAATTATTTTTATTACTTTAAATGACTTTAAATCTCATTTGAGTGTTATCAAAAAGTGTTACTTTTTAAAAAATTAAAAATAGTCTAAAAAAAACCTTAAAATGTCTAAAAATAGTAACTTTATGCCAAGAACAGGATCAAATGAGATCACTTTCTTATTTTTTTCAAGTCATGATTTCATTTTAAGATCTGATATATAGTCACTTTGCATGTTTTTTTAATGACTAGTCCCAGCGGGATTCACATCAAGAAATGTATGAAACCAGACCAAATGAGATCAAATGTGAAATTCATGGTCCCGCCGGCCAGTCTAGTACACACCAAGCTTTCTGTTGCTAATCTCAGCCTCATTAGATGCTTATAGGCCTATCAATCAGCTGTCATGATCTTGTTCTATGTTAGGAACTAATCATAGACTTGATGACTGCAGTTCTCCCTGCCAGTATTAGAGCTTGACAGTGAGCTTGAAGACTGTAGCCTATCAGAGTGCTCTGTCTAGAGTCTAAAT